AACCCTAGAGGGCCGGGGAGATAGCTCAGTGAATAAGCACTTGCCTGGCAAGCACAAGGGCCTGAGTTCAATCCCCGGTTCCACCAAAAAAACCCCAAAAACAAACAAACAAACAAACAAAAAAACCCTTCACTTTTAAAGGTTCCTATAGATTAAAACTAAAAAACAAAACAAAAAAAACCTAAAAGGGTGGAGATATATATGCATATATATATGCATCATACTAACTTAAAAGAAAGTTGGAGTGAACAGTACTATTACTATATAAATATTAGACATAGGATATTCACAGATAATACTATTAGCTGAAATAAAAGTTCCCTGATAAAGTGATTCATTCATTAAAAGGGAGTAACATTCCTAAACATTTACGCACCTAATAACAAGTTTGAAAATACTTGAAGCAAAAATGGAGAGAATTTTATTGAAAAAATAAGCAAATTTTTAATCACAGTCAAGAGATTTCAATAATCTACTCTCAATTTATAGAAAACACAGATAAAAATTAATAAGGATACAGCAAATTTGAACAATACTATTAACTGATTTAATTTGATCTGATCATTGACAGTTACAGAACACAAACCCTCAATGACAGCAGAGTAAAATTCTTTTTAAGTATGTATCAAGCATTTATGAAAACAATTTTTATTTTATTTTATTGTTTGGCAAAACCGGGATTGAACTCAGGCCCTTGCGCTTGCCAGACAAGCTCTTATTCTACTGAGCCATCTCCTTGGCCTCGAAGACAAATCATATACCGGGCCACAAATCTTAACAAATTAAGATGGATGTGGTGGCATACACTTGTAATCCTAGCACTTGAGAAGCTGAGGCAGGAGAAATGCCACAAGTTTGAGGTCAGTCTGGGCTGCATAGTGAGTTTAAGGTCATCCCGAACTAACCAGCAAGAATCTGTCCACATAAATAAATACTTGTTCTTTGAGCACAAAAGAATTATTTTGGAAATCAAAAGAAGATGTTAAGGCCAGGCATGGTGGTGCATGCCTGTAATCCCAGCACTCGGGAAGCCAAGGTAGGATTGCTGTGACTTGAAGGCCAGCCTGGGCTATAAAGTAAATTCAAGGTTAGCCTGAACTGCATAGTGGAACCCCGTCTCAAAACAAACTAACCCAGAAAGAAAAGAAAAAACAAAAAGAAAGGAAACCTCAAAATATTAGGAAACAAAAATACTTCTAAATGACTGATATATCACTACTACATATTATAATGGCTAATTTTTTTAAAGCTGATAATACTAAGCATCATGATGACTGGGAGCAACAGGATTTTCAGGATCTGCTGTTGAGAATGAAAAATAGTACAGTCACCCAGGAAAAGATCTGGCAAGGTGACACCTACCATATGATGCAACAATCCTACTCCTTAGTATCCACCTCAAGAGTATGAAAACTGACATTCACACAGAAACCTGTACCTAAGTATGTATAGCAGCTCCATTTGTAACTGCCAAAGACAGAAAATAATCTAAATGTATTCAATAGGTGAACAGCTAAGCAAACTGTGGCACGTACATAGAATGAACACGACTTAGTAATGGGCGAAAGTATTGACACATACAACACAGATTAGTTCCAAAGACATTATGCTGAATGGAAAAACCCGGTCTCAGAGTCTACATGCGGTTATGATTCCATTTTTGAAATACATATTCCTGAAATACAAAATGAGCAATGGGGAACAGATCAGTGGTTGAAATGAATTACATATACATGTTATTCAACAAGGACACGGTTAGGGAGTTTCATAAATTCAGCTCAAAGTTGCAATCCTCCTGCCTCAGTCTCTGACAGTGTTGGGATTACATGAGCCACCACCTTTGGCCAGACCATTTAAAAAACTCTCAAAACTCAGTTCTATAAAAGAAATAGGTAATAATTAAGAAAAAAAGAAAAGAAATAGGGGCCAGCGAGGTAGCTCAGTAGACTAAAGTGCCTGCTTGGGCAAGGTTAGGCAAGCGTAGGGACCACAGTTCAATCCCTGGCACCAAATGCCGTGCTAGCCCCTCCCCCAAGGTGGGCTGAGCCAATCAGAGTCTGGGTGTGGTGGCACACACCTGCAATCCCAGTGCTGGGGAGGCTGAAAGCAGGAGGATCACTGTGAGTCCGAGCTGCTGCATAGTGAGTCCCTACAACAACCAAATACATTAAAAAAATAAATAAATAAAATATTTTAAATGGGCAAAAGACTTGAACAAACACTTAACTAAAGGATATGTATAAATGGCAAATAGGTACATATAAAATGTTCTGTATCATATGATACAAATTAAAATCATGGGATACACTTGAAATGCTTCAAAGTTACAAAGGTAGACTCTACCAAGTATTCACAAAGGTATGGAGGAGCTAGAACACTCATTCAATGCTGTTGGAAAAGTACACTGTAATAACCAGTTTGGAAAAGAGGTTGGTAGTTTCTTAAAAAGTTAAACATGTACCTATTATAATGTCCCAACACTGCATTCCAGGAGTACTGGGAGTGAAATGACAAAGTATATCCATTGTTTGAGGTAGCAGTAAAATACAAAAGTCAAGTGTTTACCAATCAGCAAGCAGATAAACTTCCACACATTGTCAGTGGGAATGCAAAACAGTCAGTGCCTGTTTTTTTGTTTTTGTTTTTGTTTTTGTTTTTGTTTTTGTATTTTAGGGAAGGGTCTACAGGGTGTTCAGGTCTCACTACTAGATGGACTCTAGTGATCTGCCTGTTTACAGCCTCCCAAGAGCTGGGATTACATGCATACCATGCCCAGTCTCAATTGCTGTCTCAGTGTGCCCTGGGGGCAGGGCCAGCACAGCAGGCCAGGGGATCGAACCCCCAGCCCCTGCACCTGCTTGCAGGCGCTTTACTCTGCTGAGCTATTTGGCCAGCTCTGGGAATGCAAAATAGTGCAATCACTTTGGAAAACAGTCTGGCAGTTTCTTACAAGATTAAACATATAAGATTCAGTAATCAAACTCATGTGTTTATGAGAGAAAAATAAAAACTTTTCATAGAAAAATCTGTACTGAAATATTTTTAATAGCTTTATTTGTAACTGTCCCAAACTGAAGATCATACAAATATAGTTCAGTGGGTGAATGAAAAATGAGCCATGGGCCAGGGAGATGGCTCAGTGGAGTAAGTGCTTCCCTGGCAAGCGCAAGGGCCTGAGTTCAATCCCCGGTTCCGACAAAAAAAAAAAAAAAAGAAAGAAAGAAAGAAAGAAAGAAAGAAAGAAAGAAAGAAAGAAAGAAAGAAAAGAAAAAAAGAAAAGGAGCCATGATTCATCCAAATAGCAAATACTAATACATACAACAGAAATGAAGCTCAAATGCATTATACTAAGTGAGAGGTCGAATTGGAAAAGTCACATACTACATGATGCAATTTACACAGTATTGTGGAAAAGGCAGAATTAGGCATAGAAAACAAAGGGTAGGATGTGAGGGTGATTGGGCTGTGACATCTGTCACCAGGGTTGATTCAGTTGATCTGGCTGGCTAGGAGGATGTCCCCTTCCTCCCTCAATGCTCCATGTAGTCCCTCCCCAAGCTGTGTGCTTGGTCAAAGAGGACGACCATCCTGGACAGAGGAGGATCGTTCCTTGGTGAAGGGTATATGAGTAGCTGGACTCCCTGCTAGAACCTCCAAACAAGCTCTCAATTAAACAGAGGATATAAATCTATGCTTAGCAGTTTGTCTCTATCATCTAACATATCAATACACTGCACTGCTCAATTTACTGTGTCTCTTAATAATCTATTACCCTAAGCCTACCGATCAGCACAGTAATTGGTACATGCCCAAAACACAAAATTCTTATTGTGCACCATTCTGCTCAGTCCTGGGCCTTGTGGCTAAAGAATACTTCTGGCTCTCTGAAGGGTGTTTCCCTCTGCAAAGGGTGAGTAATTCACACAGCAAAAAAGATAAATATTTGCCCATAGCCTAGTGGAGGATTTTTTAGTGGAGTCTGGATCAGTGGTGGCACTGCAGCCGGCTGTTTGTTATTGCAGAAAGCTCTAAAATGTTTGCCTTCACTGATTCAGACCTTGTTGTGCATACCTATATTCCGGAAATAACTGCCTAAACCATGCCAGGTTCTGAAGGAGCTTTTCCGGCTTTCTCCCACATGCAGACTCAGTCACTAAGGCGAACACTTTTGGGGTTTTTTGTTTATTTATTTGTTTATTTAGTGTGTGTGTGACCAGCTCAGCCCACCAAGGGGCGGGGCTGGCTGGCATGTGGCGCTGGGGGATTGAACTGCGGTCCCTGTGCTCTGCCAAGCTTGTTCAAGTAGGTGCTTTAGACCACTGAGCCATCTCACCAGCCCCAAGATGAACACTTTTGGACCTGAAATGTGCTCAAGGTAGGGTTGTTTGCCGAGTCAGCAGGGTCTCTTTCAGCCAGATAGGAAGAACCAGAAACCCGAGGAAAAGGTGGAGTGTGAAAAAACTGGGGAAATGAAGATTACAAAAACAGGTAAACTAGTAGAATACAGTAGTGCACGCCTGTAATCCTAGCACTCTGGGAGGCTGAGGCAGAGGGTTGCAACTTTGAGCTCAGCAGCACATCATGGTATTTAAAAAAAAAAATTAAAAAGCTGCCGGGGACCCTACAAAGACCCTGGGTTCAATCCCCAGTACCACAAAAACAAATGAAGACAATGACTTTATTTGTGGCTATAGAGGGTACATCTTATAAAATTGGTTATGAAATGAGTAGGGCTGTATTTTGAAGCCTCACAGAAAAATGCTCATTGGTGCAATTTCACTGAAATCTTCTTTGACTCTATTTTTTTTAAATATTTATTTATTTTTATTTATTACATTTATTTATTGTGTGTGTGTGTGGCCAGCTCAGCCCACCAGGGGGCGGGTCTGGCTGGCATGTGGTGCTGGGGATCGAACCGCGGTCCCTGTGCTTTGCCAAGCTTGTTTCAAGTAGGTGCTTTAGACCACTGAGCCATCTCTCCAGCCCCACTTTGACTCTATTTTGTTCAAGTTGACCCTTTTAGGATCTCCTGTGGTAGTAGTAATCCTCCAATAATCCTAATTGAATAGTCTCACTTTATCCGGCTCTCAAGCTAGGAATACATTCCAGAAATTGGCTCACCCTAATTCTGAGCTGAGCTGGTGCACCTCTGAGGGAAGAGAGGCACCGCTCTGGGACGCGATGACCTCCCACCACCCCCACCCCCGAGGCCCCAAGCCAAGCAAAGGTTCGTGAGAGGTCTTGGGCTGAGCGGGTTCAAGATTCTACCTTGAATTCTCACCCGGGGTCTCTGCGGGGGCTCAGGAACACCTATGGAGGCGATAACGCGCCCCCTCAGCCTCCACTCGGACACCCAGCTCGCAACCGGAGTCCTCCGACACCAGGGGAGCCACGGCCCCGGAATTTAGAAAGTCGAAGTACTGCTCATCCGCTGGGCGTCCTGAGTCGCCTTAGTAACCGCCACTTCCGGCTCCGACCGGAAGCCCTAGAAGAGGGACTTCAGGGGGCGTGTCCACCCCCACGTGGGCGGAAGCGCGGCCACGCCCACCCCACCTAGTTAGCCGGGCTCTGATCCTCTCCCGGGACCCGCGGCGTCCCAGAGGACCAGCGATCGAGCCTGCCCCGCGTGGCCTTGGGTCAGGGGCCATGGACACCTTCATCCGCTTCTCTAACCAGACCCAGGGCCGGGACCGAGTCTTCAGGTGAGTCCGGTGCCGGTGCCTCCACCCCTTCCTTTCCTCGCCCGACAAGTAGCGGTCGGGGGCAGCGGCGCGCGGAGGGCGCAGCCGGCCCGGCAGGGACCTGGTCCCCGAGCCCCGCAGTCCCAGTGCGGCGGAGCCGGGCGGCCGTCCCTTTGCCAGCTTCCCTTGGAAAACTGAGTTTTCGCCACACCACGTTCTTCCAGGGGCATTTCTTTTAAAGACGAACGTGGGGGTTGGCGTTTGCACTAGTTGTATCCTCACACTCCCCCTTGAAATAATTATGAAGAAACAGAAGTTTCGTCTTCTTTGTCTTCCATTATCGTTACCCAATCCGAGTCTTGGAAATACTGTGGGTGAAAGTTGTAAGATGTGAAAATAGTGGAAAGAGAACTGCCCTGAACACGTGCCTTGCCCGTAAGACTGTCCGACAGTCTTTAGTACTGTAGTACTTATCCTTGGCCGTAGTGTTTTTGTCAGCTATGTGGATGATTTTTGCTCAGAT